ATAAATTAATAAATTATTAATAAATTAATAATAAATTAATAAATTAATTAAATTAATATATAATTTATATAATTTATAATATAATTACCTTTATAATTTGCCTACAAGTCAGTATAATGCAGGGGTTCCCAACCTGGGGTACCCGCACCCCCAGGGGGTGTGAGATGGAATTTCAGGGAGTGCAACAATTTTATGCACTGAGTTAAATGTTTATTAAGTTCCATTTGTTCACCGGCATTATTAGACTTCTTCAAATGTGATATTACTTTGTAGGGGGTATGAACATTAATCAAACATTTCCTAGAGGCGTGGGGCATAGAAAAGGTTGGGAACCACTGGTATAATGCCAGAGATCGGTGTTTCCCTTGACAGACTCCTATTTTTATTTATTTATTTATTTATTTGATTTCTAAAGTCGCCCATCTCGGCAAGTGACTCTGGGCAGCATAGAGTCATAAAAACATAAAACAATTAAAACAATACAAATAGAGTGTATGAAAAGCTTCTGTAAAAAGCATTCAAGGAAACAGAGAACTTGGTGGGCACCAACAGAGACGTCCAGGAAGACATGGACGCTCTGGCTACTTCTTGGCCCACCCCTAGCTTAATGCATTGGGTCGATCCAGCCATTGCTGGTTAGTTAAGACGAACGGGAGCTTTCTGCAAGGGATGAACCCGTATCCCATGACAGTGAAGCCAATCCAATCCAAGCTACCTGCTTTGGTGGGGAATTTTCTGAAAGCAGGCCCAAAAGTCGGACCTGCCCCTTTGGTTCATAGATGGTGCCGGGGCTCCGGGCGATGGGATCCACTGAGGGCTTGATACAGGCATTGGTCAGCACAGACTGGCGATGAGGGTTCAACATGGTACCCACGACAACATGGAAGAGTCTTGGCCACTCTCTGGTTACCAAAGCAACTGGCCCCCTTCCAGAACAAGCCCAGCCAAAGCAGAAGGTTCTGGAATGAAGGCAGGGCACTTGCCAGGCTGGAGGTTGGCACGGCAACGCCACTGCCAGCATTTGAATTTCAGCTGGGCCTCGGACCATGAGCCTGCATTGCAGGGTTGAGCTCAGCCCCTGAACCAAGCGCAGTGGGAGAAAGAAAGGACTTTCACATGGCAACTCTGAAGGAAGCTTTACTAGCTATTATTTCTACATGTTTCAACAGTCCCTTCTTAGAAGCTGAAGCTGTAGGAGAATCCCAACAGATGCTTTAGCTTGAGCAGGATGTGGGCCAAGCAATAAGCCTCAGGGCAAACCTTTCTCTCATCATAAACAGCCTTTTCATCAGCTCCAGGCTGCCTATTGCACAGGAACATTTAATATGTGCAAAGGGCGTTGCGTTCGGAAGATGGCCCCCTCGGGAAAACCTGCCTGTTCTCAAAGTGACCAACACAGTGGGCATGAATGAAGTGCCCACTGACCAGCCGTCTAACTGGCAAGGTTATTAACATTCGCCTTGTGTTCGTCTTATTATATTTTCTAGGCACTTGACTGTAGCCTTCCATTGCTTTTATTTTCTTAAGGCCAACTGCTAAGGAGAAATGCAAAGTGGTTTGATCAGCAGGGAAAATTCAGGGCTAGGGTGATGGTGAAACTGACCAGAAGGATGGATGAAACTGACAGCATTGCTTCTCTAATAAAATTGGGTTGGGCAATGGACTTGGAAAGCAAAAACTGCACGTGGATAAGGCAGAAGATAGAGGCAAGGGGATGACAGGCCAAAAATCGTTTTTTTCTTTAAAAAATCTGTATCAGACCTGAAAGAATGGAGGCATGATGGGTTGAATCTGTGCATATTCACAGACTGAAAATATGACTCAAAACCTAAGATATACTTTGATTATGCGCTGATTATCAAGTCAGCGTCAACTCTTAGCAACCACATAGATTTTCTCCATGATTAATCTGTCCCCAACCTGGTTCTTCAGGTCTTCCATTGGTGCACCCATCACTCCTGTAATGGAGTCCATCCATCTTGCAGCACATACTGGAAGAGAGTTAAGTATATTTTATCACAGTGCAATTCCAGACTGCTTAAATCTTCAGTCAGCATAACTCTGCACAGCAATGCAAAGTGGTATCATCTTAAAGCACTATTTTCAAGCTTCCAGATGTGTCTGCCTTTTTCATCCAACCTAAACAAAGCAGTCTTGTTCACATCTAACCTAGGCCTGCTATAGCTGGGTGGCAAAAATCCAAACCACCTCTAGAAAGTAGCAAAGATACAGAAAACTCTTCGTTGCCTTTTAATGGCCATCTTGATTTCTGCAGCCCAGATACGGTCACCATTATGAAAGCGGGATATTGAGAAAGAGCACAAAGATGCTTTAGAGTTTAGCCACGTAGCTGGCAGCATTTTCCATGAATCAGAACACCAATATTTGGTTTCAGTTCTGGGTTGATAGGTAATTTAGTTTCAAGATCACCATTGACAAAGCATGGTTGTAAGCTGCTGAAAATCTGAGAGAGCCGACGTGGCTTACAGGCTGCAACTTTGAAAATCCTAACCAACCTACAAAGTCACTTGTTTAAAACAACAACAAAGAGGTCGCAAAAGAATAACATTATCACTTTAAATGTTTTTTTTCCATTTATTTATTTACCTCTTCTCAAGAAGTCAGATGTAAAGTTCAGACAGAAAAAAGCCGTTTGCCCCAAACTCCCCTGTGGAGTTCATGAACAATATATTTTTAATAATTGGAGAGCCAGCCTGGTCTAGTGGTGAAGGCTCCAGGCTAGAAACCAGGAGACGGTGAGTTCTGCGTGGGACGCCTTAGGCATGAAAGCCGGCTGGGTGACTTTGGGCCAGTCCCCCTCACTTAGTCTACAACGTCAGGCTCGGGCGACAAGCCGGTTGGTCAGTTCCTGTCTCAACCAACAGATCAACGTTTGGTTGATCCGAAAAAAGTGGACTCTGCACCCGTGGAAAAATGCTAGGAAGAAAAAAATAATTTAAACAATTTATCCAAAGCCAACATAATTCAAAGTTACTAAGAAAGGCAGACATCTGGAAAGCACAGTGCTAGTTTTCAGCTTCTTGAGCTACTGGAGTTTGTTCACATCAACCAAGGGGCTCAGCATTACCTTGAAATTCAGACTAACCACATGGATTTGATAACAGTCTGTACACCTGACTTGAAGAAATGGGAAGAGATTTTATTTTTTTGGTTGAAAAGTTTACAATGCAGTGCAATCAGTTAAATGGAAAAGGCAGCTGTATAAATGCTAAAAATCCAAAAGAACAAAGAATAGAGCACGTTTTTGGTCTTCCCGCCCCCACCCACTTTGTGGGTTCCTCACAGTGCAAGCCATGTCTCCAGGGAGTTGGAGATTTTGGATGGGAAAGGAGGGGGAAAAGAAGTCATTTGGGTGGATAACATGACTGGGAAGCTCCCAAGTGTGGTGAAGGAATAGGCAGGATGTGAAGGGGTAAACATTGTCACCCTCTCCCTAGCATCTCACAACCTAAGCTCTGTTGACTTCTGCATGATCCCAGGGCTCATGAAAAACCAGTCTCACAATTGCTGTGGGGGGAAAGGGGACTGAGATGCAAGCCACTATAAACCTGGATTTTGGTCCCTGAATCCGTTTCTAGACAGTGTTTTTTAGTTCCTTCACATTTTTTCCAATCTGGGAAAAGAAGGGATGTGCAACATTTCAGAACAGTGGAGATAAGGTGGAAGAAAAAAAATATATAATGCACTTTGGACCAGGAGAAAGATGGTTCTGCCTCAACCGTCACATTTAGACAAGTTTAGCCAAGCAGGTGTGTCCACTTCTTTTGCTCCGCATTCGCTCTTTCCTTCTTTCCAGATGACTGCAACAAAAGCACTACAAGCACCTTCCGTGGGGGAAGCAACCCGTCACCTGCATTCCAAGAGCAAACCGCTTTCAACGATGGAAGAGCAAAACCTTCAGAGTTTTCGCCCACGTCGTCTGCTTTTGAACGAAGGGAGCCATCGGTTTCCTTAAAAGGGACCCAACTTTTCTCCAAAAAGGGAAGATGGGGAAACCTGGAAGAAGAGAATCTGTCATAAGCAAACTTGAATAGGTCAGATCATCTAAATAAGATGTTTAACCATTCAAGGTTACAATTCTTGATACGAATGACATTATTTTACAGTTATTTGACTGGGCCATCAGTGATTTTATTTTTCTAGAACCTGATGAGGTTGCTTTGACAACAGTTTGGTTACAGGGAGTCCACGGGTTAAGAATGCCCGGGTTACAGTCGACCCATAGTTAAGAACAGAGTCTACTATAGCAAAATTCAAATTAAATACACAGTGATTTGAGTTAGATACACAAGGGTTCGAGTTCATTACACAATACTACTTATATAGTATTATCACCCCCATCACATCAACCTGTCCCACCTGGTCAGGCAGAGAGGGCATGTTGTGGACCCCTCAGTGAGAGAATGTCAATTGGCAGGGCCCGGGAGGAGAGTCTTCTCTGCTGTCACCCCCGCCCTTTGGAATATTTGCCCCCCAGAGATGTGGCAGACCCCTACCTTCCCGGCTTTCCAGAAAGGATTAAAGACCTGGCTCAGCCAGCTTGCGTGGGGTGACAACAATCTTACCCAATCCTGGTGGCTGGCGCCCTGATGACGCTCCCTGAGTGACTGCCAATTTTAACATCTATCCTTGGATCTATTTACTCTCTATTTATTTAAGATTATTGTATATTGTAATTTTAATTGATTTTAACCGTTTTGTAAACTGCGCAGAATTATTTCAACGAGATGGGCGGTGACAAATTTGATATACAAATAAAATAAATAAAATTATACAATAATAGTGTTCTGGCTTAAATACAAATTCGACTTAAGGACAGACCTTGGGAATGGAACTCATTCTTAAACTGGGACTACCTTTCCATGGCATCAGCCGGAAGTCACTTCTGACCAATTACTTCTAAATATATTTTGTCTCTTATTTTGTTCACTGTCTAGAGTTTCACTGCACAAATGGGCAGTTCCATACTCATTATTTTTATTTATTTATTAAACTGATGAGCATAATTTACTTCCAGGCTTCTCTGGGAAGATGGCTGTTTTTATCCACAATGTCCAGAATAAGGGCAGCTATGGGTAAATGATGAAGCCAGAGCTTCAACATGTGTTCATAGTTGGACTGAGATCTGAAAACAGTTTCTTCGTTCATGGGAACTGAACAATAATTCCTGAACAACAATAATTCCTAAACAACAACACTTCCTAAATGAAAAAAAAACTAGAGTTAATAAACTATGAAAAACATAAGCATGGAAAGATAAAATGAATGTAGTCCTAGCTCCATATGAGAGAAGAAAGCTTCTCATTCAAAAGGTAGCCTGCCTTTGTACTATTATATTTACCGTACGTGGATTCATCCCACTATTTCTGGATTTTAGAAAGCTTTTTCCTTAGTCTTAGTTTGCTTATCTGTATTATAGGGAGATAATAACACTAAGTTCCTTAAACAGAGCTATTTAAGGAATACAACTGCATAACGTGAAGCAATTTTAGTATTTCAAAATGTTCTGCAAAGTTTATAGCGATTACTACCATGGCTATCATTTTAAGAAATCCATTCGCCATATTTCCTGATCCCCCACACAGCCTTGCTGTTTAGAAGCCCAGAACCCACCTTTAGAAGTTGCGGGGTCTGGAGGGCAGCTCCATTTTGGGAGACCTTGTTTGGAAAGTGATCCCATCTCCTGGCAAAGGGGAAGCGATGAAAGGCGTGAGGAAGGCCAGGATCCACCGATCTCCCATTACTTGTCGAAGATTGTTCCGCCAACCCAAGTCGTACTGGCGATTTCCCTCGAACCATTCTTTGGTGGTCTGTCCGCGCAGGGCCAGCAAGCCGTGGAACAGCAGGAAGCTGGTGCAGAACAAGAAGCCCACAATACAGACGTCGGTTACAAAGGCGTGGACAAAGGCTGCAATATTGACTTGCCCTGTGAGAGAGGGAAGGTGAGGTGTAACTTTAGGTGCTCCATCTGGAACCTAGAAGATAAATGCACGTGGAAGAACTTGGACAACTATGAGTGGCAGAAGTTGAGTGACCCGCAGAAGCCAAAAAAGCAGACCTGCTACAGCCGCTTTCTCCAACCTAGAGCCCTCCATATCTGTTGGATGTCAACTTTAATAATCGATTCAGCATCACCACATCTGGGGTGCACCAGATTGGGGAAAGCCATATTATAGCATATTTCATAAGATCTGGTCTAGGAACCCTCCCTTGATGCCAACAGTTAAGATTGGTGTATACAGGGGACAGGGCCCTCTTGGTGGGGGCTTTGAAGGTGCCATCTCCATTCATTAGGCAAGAAAGATAAACAGGGTACATACAGACACTTCAACCAATTTTAAAGACATTTCAGGGCTGTCTTTTAACCATAGTTGGAAATTCCGCAGACCTGTCAGAACAACTTCTCAAAAGTACTGTTTACGTTTGCTAATTATTCAGCAAGTGGGAGGACTTAACCAACCTTGGCTGATCTCAGAAGCTGAACAAAGTCCTCCCTGGCTAGTACTTGGATGGGAGGCCACTTGGGAATCACTAGAAGGCAAACCCAACTTCAGGTTGTCTTCAGCTTTTATGCTTGATAGTATTTATTATTAATTTATTATGCTTACATCGCATCTTTCCTTCAGCAGCGTAAGGCAAGAGATATAGAACTTGCTCCGATTTTTCTGCACAACAGTGACATTTGGAGGTAGGATGAGCTGACAGAGTGATACCAGCTCAAAGTCCTCCAGGGAGTTTCCACGGCTGAGGTGGGATTAGGGGCATGTAGGAATAGGGATGTTTATCAGAAGAGTGGATACCATTAATTCCCTGAGTGTGGTGCCCAGCGCTGCTTGAAAATAAATTTAAAAAATGAAATACGAAATTCTAGGCCTGCTACGTTGGTATGCCTTTCACAGAAGGGAGCTTCTCTCACTCATTCTTACCTATCAGGAGCATCAGCCAAGGCAGGACTAGGAGGAGGATCGTGTGGGCAAGGCCACTTTCCTCTAGCAGCGTCAAAACCACATTGGCGTTGAGCAAGCTACCGTACAGCAAGACGACAGACCCGTAGAGCAGCAGGCAAATGAAGTAGCGGTAGTTCTGATAGCCCAAGCACTGTCCGAGCAGCATGCAGTGGTGGTCTCGTCGCAGGACGCAAACATTACAGGTGAAACAGTGGCTGCAGCGGGGAGGCACGTGGGTCTGGCAGGAATAGCAGTAACTGGAAGAGAGGAGGAAGAATGAGTTGGGCAAGTTGGGCAGGCATATAAATCCAATCCATCCACGATCTACACCCTAGAGAATTCTGAGAATCCAAGGGGTTGACTCGAGAACTGCTACCAGAGATGCAGGAGGAACAGGTGGTCTTCAGACGCTGATGAACTACAACTCCCAGCAATCCTCATTCTTGGTCATGCTTTCTGGAGCAGCTGGCCGTTGTTATCCAGATCTGGGGCCATGCTGTCTCCCTACCTTTGGGAATACTGAGCTGACTTGATAAAAGGCAGGTTCCATATGTTTTGCTTTTTGCTTTACAGAAAAATCTGGATACCTGCCTTCTTCTGTTCACGGGAAACACCCATCAAGTTAAGAAAATAACACGGGATGAAGGCACAGCATACCACTGCCTCTGGAAAGCAATGATTCATAATAGCTTGGCTTTCTGTTTATGCTCATCTGTATTGACACCTATTTCTCTCCCTGCCAAGCAGAATAAAATCTCAACAGGCTCGCTGGGAGAATGAATATATGGCATTACACAAATGATGTAGATCAACATAAAGCAGAGATACAATCGACATAAATTTAACTGCCTCATCCATACTACAGGTACAAGAAACTTGCCCATTATTCCAGTGGGAAGCTCAGAGGGAAATGGGGCTCACTGCATCCACTGCTAAGTGGGGATCCTATTCAATTGAGGATTGACTTATGTATTCGTGTTCTTATGTACCAAACACACTTCCTTTCTCAGCTTCGTTCTTCCACAAAGGGGATGCTGGCTTATTAAAACCTGCCCCACAAGCCATTAGAAAACAGGTTGATTTCATACAAGTTCACTGGTCCAAGTACTGTAGCCCGGCATATTTTTTTTAAGCCGAATTTCAAGGGAACATCTTTCCAAACTCTGGTGCTCCCGACATTGTGGACAGAGAAAGCAGTACAGATCCAGCAAGGAAAAGCCCTTTTCTTGAAATGCCCCGCTCCCCCGCAAAGCCTCAGTGTGACCACAGATCCACTCAGTACAGAGACCAGATCCTCAGATCCTCTGGATTTTGCATTTAGAGAACGGCACTGTCCATGCATACTAGAGAGACAGTCCTGGAAGAAATGCAACATCAGCATGGGCTGGATTGCTAAGGCAACAAAGCCTTATCAGTGCAGCCAGGGGGCACATCTGTATTCCTTTGTGATTCCAAATTCTTCTTCAAACGAAAATACATATATGGAGGCAGCCACTAGATGGCAGCAAAGAGTAACCCATGTCTCTCGGCTGCCGTCTAGTGGTCTGTCTCAAACCTGCAGTCCACAAATAGCACAAGATACTTGATGGCTCCTCCCTCTGTTACACCCACCCCCAGCGATCTACTTCCGTCTTCACGGAAGTCCCACTCCACGCGCGCCCCTTTTTCCCGCCACTTCTATACGCTCCTCCCCCTCACGCGCGGCCGTTCTCCCATTGGCCCCCGCCCCACTCACTCCCATCCTTGCCCCGCCCCCGCCAGCATGACGCCGCGCGTGCTGGGCGAAGCCATGATGAAGCGGCGGGCGTTCTCCAGCGCGCTGCCCAGCAGGAAAAGCAGCCAGGCCAAGGGCCAGAATGGGAACGGCTCTCCGCGCGGGCCCAGTCGCAGCAGCACCACCAGCACCTCCAGGACGAGCGCGCCCGCCAACGCCG